TTTTATGCACGTCTTGACTTGATTTTTCTTGCGGAAATTTAATATTAGTCTAAAGTGTCTGACACAGATACAGCTGATGAAGTGGTTGAAATCAGCTTAACGTCACCTAGAAAAAGGGCTAAAAAGCTTCATCTTAGCGCAGGTGAAAAACAAATTATTCTAAATATCTACAAGAACCAGATGCAAGAGAATAGTGGATTGGCTATAGAAAATATCGTATGTAAGGTTGCTGAAATTTCTGGAGTAGGTCGATCAAGTGTTTACAAAATCTTGAAGGAATATAGACAAAATCACTCACTATCTGAGCCAAAAACATATCCAGCGAGAAAAAAAATCATCGAAAAAATAGATGACTTTGACAAAAGTGCCGTTAGAAGAAAAGTACATCACTTTTTCTTCAGGAATGAAATACCTACAATAGATAACATATTGAAGCAAGTGAATGATGATGAGGACCTGCCAAATTTTAAAAGATCTACGTTCCATAAGCTGTTGAAAGAACTAGACTTTCGATTTTTGAAAAGAGGAAGGAATAGTTTATTGATAGAAAAGGAGGAAATTGTTATCTGGAGGAGAGAATACCTTAGAAAAATTAGGCAATTCCGCGCTGAAGGAAGAAAAATTTATTATTTAGACGAAACATGGGTGAACGCGGGGCATACGCAGGGAAAGGTTTGGGTAGACAGATCTGTGATCCTCAAGGCAGGCTTTTTTAGATGGCCTTTCGACGGGATTGAAAACTCCTGCAGGTAAGTTTCGAAGTATATGAACTTTTTTGGATGCAGATAATTCATTTTCTGATCGAATCAATGATTTGGAAGCTCCGAACTCAGTTTTGCTATCTCATCCAAGTTTCTGAGTATTTCCTTCACCCAAAAACTAATCTAAGACCCTATCCTACACTAACCTAAAAAGAGTAAGTTGCTTAATTTCGTCATTTAGTGCGCTCGCTGAGAAGTAAAATAACTAATTACTTTCAGGCAAGGGAAAACGCCTGATCATTTGCCACATAGGTAGCGTAGATGGATTTGTTCCTGAAGCATTGTGGGCATTTGAATCCAAAAAAACTGGAGACTATCACGAAGAAATGGATGGTAACTCATTTGAAAATTGGTTCAAAAAAATTTTGCCGACACTTGATGATAACGCAATTATTGTGATGGATAATGCCCCGTACCACTCCAGAAAATTTGAAAAAATTCCAACAATGGCCACCAAAAAGGCAGACATTCAACAGTGGCTTATCTCAAAGAAGATCGACTTCGACCAAACAATGGTCAAAGCTGAGCTGATAAATATAGTCAAGCGACATAAGTATAAATATGATTCAAAATTGTTGACGAAATGGCCAAAAACCAAAATAAAACGATTCTCAGGCTGCCTCCCTATCACTGCGAACTGAATCCTATCGAGTTGATTTGGGCCGACATCAAGCAATACGTGGCGTCAAATAACAGCACTTTTAAGTTTTCTGACCTTAAAAAACTGTTTGATGTTGCTGTCGATAGAATAACGCCAGCAAAATGGAGAACATGTATTGACCATGTCCAAGAGAAGGTTGAAACCAAAATGTGGGATATGGACAATATCATTGACACCCAAGTTGAACCCCTTATAATTGACATCAACAATTCTGATGATTCAAGCTCCTCGGAATACAGCATACAAATCGATTGATACCATTAAGACTGGCAGTTTAACGGGCTTTTTGGCAAGACAGGTAAGTTCATTATAGACTGCAATCAAAGTGTAAGTTTCTAGTTATTAATGTGGAAATTCCAAATTTATAATTACACAAAATTAGGGTTAATTTAGGAGTTCCAAAGCATAATAGTGCCATTTTGACCTTCTTCCTATTTCTCATGTAAATTTTAATAGCAATCAAACTAACAAACTTTATGGAGTCTGTAATAAACTTTTGTACTACTACTACTACGTCTGTAGTTTCTATTTGCTCAAAAAAATTTGCTCTGCATTGTGAATAGAAGGTTGATTTGTAAATATTATTGGGTATATATGTAAGTTAATAATAAAATATGAACAATTTCAATTGAGATGGTCCACAAGTTTTTTTCGTGTGCGTTTTAGTAACATTTTGCTGAAATGGTGAATACAGAATTTTTTACACTGATTCCTAATGTCGAAATATGATTAGAAAGGCGTGGTATATACCTGATAATTTACTATGCTTTTGATAGAATTTACAGCAACACATATCTTGTACGACATTTTTTGATAGATCAGTCACAATAGCTTGATACGGCCCTGTAGCGTCTCCTACGGTTAAGTTTTTGATCACGTGCAATACGGGTGTATATGTTTGATTTTACTTTGTTTCTTCGATGGATACAGTTTAAGTGATATCATCCAGTGCATTTGTTTCGCTATAAATTCTCTTCACTTTTTAGTATGATCTTTTAGAAAAAAGTTATATTCAAAAGTTGTAAGGTAAAACATGCAGTTTTTCTAGCAATGTTTTTTATATATCTCAGAAACGGGCTTTCGTATGAAGTTGTATATTTTCAGTGTAAGTGATTCCACAAGGAACCGTATTCGGACCAATCTTGTTTAATTTGTATATTAATGACCTTTTTATGTTGGATAACGATAGATAAATTATTGGTTTCTCAGACACGGAACGGCAATCATACAGGGTGGTCAATATATTACTGACTAATTTAAATTGCGCGCCATTTTTGATACACACATTTCAGTAGGTGGCGCCACAGTAGTTATTCGAAGCACATGTGTCCAATTCACCATGGAGCGCTACACGATCTTACAACGCGTCCGTTTTGTTAAAGCGATTTACTTAAATAATGAGTCGATTGTTGCAACGATTCAGAAGCTACGACAAGATTTCGGTAGAAATAACGTGCCCCCAGTGTCAATAACATTTGTCAGCTGGTGCGGAAATTTGAACAAACAGGTGAAGTTAAAGACTTGCCAAGGTCGGGCCGTGTTCGAACTGTTCGAACTCCGGAAAATATCGAGAGAGTTCGTGAAAGAGTAGTGGAGCGCCCTGAGACGTCTACCAGACATTGTTCTCAAGAACTGGGTATTCGTCGCACGTCAAAATTCAGTAAATCCAAGAACTACAGTCTAGTGACCAACTTGTCTTACAGTTAGGGAAACAATGAACCTTTTGCGAACAATATTTCCGGAGCGCTTAATTTCTCGATTTGGTGATGTCAACTGGCCACCAAGGTCACCGGACTTAACGGCTCCTGACTTTTTCTTATGGGGATTTTTGAAAAATGGGGTTTATGCCAACAAAAATACTGTAGAGCAGCTGAAGAACAATATTACGGAAGCGATTGAAAATGCTCATCCCGAAACCTACCAAAAACTGATCGAAAATGTGATCAAGAGGCCTCAGGTTAGCGCGGCTTCTAGAGCGGATATTTGTCTGATATTATTTTTCATACATAATTTCCAAGTTTCAATAAAATATGAAGATGAAAAAAATATTCAAGATGCAAACCAGTCATCAAGTATATTGAGACCAAGATCTTTAAAAAACAAAAATCTATTGGAAATATATATTTTTTCACGGAAAGGATTTTAATAGTCAACTTCAATAGAACATATTTTATTAAATTTTCTTGCGATAACAGATCTTCCCCAAAATTTTAATCAACTTCAAAACGTTGAATAGCTGCAAAAACATACAATCAGTTGATAATTTCAAGTATTCAGGGATATCCATAGTTAACCATCTAAGATGGAATATACATGTTGAACATTAAGATACTTTATTCCGAAAATCAAACATTTCAGCATTTATTCCGAAAATCAAACATTTCAGCAGTTTTTTGAGCGAAATATATTTACACATGATTTACGTGTTCAATCATCACTATCTTGTGGAATCAGAGGTGGAGTCATGAGAAATTATTATAAAAAATTTAAATTTTGCAGAAGTGGATTTTGAAGGTTATGTTGAACAAAAAGAAATGTTATCCCACAGCAAATCTTTACAGCGAATCCCAGCTTTTCGACTCCGGCAAATAATTATCCTATAAAATATTTAACAAAAAATCCAAAATTGTTATACTCTATCAGTCACAACCATCAAACGCGATTCTAGGAAACATGTGCACTTATCTACAGACTGAGTAACACTATCAGCCAAAGATCATTCTACTTTGTACGCCCAAACATTTTTAACGTTATTCCTGCAATCTTTAAACATACAACATGCAAAAAACGTTTAAAAGCTGAATTAAAGTTATTAAAGTTTTAAGGGCTAAGGAAATGTAAAAATTTCTAGCACAAAAAAATAGGCATATACTCCCGCCACCCCCTATAGCCCCCAACATCCAATTTTCAAACATTGCAATTCTTTCTGAAAATGATCAGGATCCTCTAAGGCGCCAAAAAAACGAATGCTGAACGATTTTTATTTTTTCATTTTTTGCCCCTGGATCGATTTAAGAAAATACAAAGATTTTTCGTTCTTGCCATAATAGTAACCTTGCGTAAGTTATAGACGGGTCAAGGATTAGCGGCAAGACAGACGGTAAAAGTATACAGTGCTTTTCAAAAAGGTCGCTCCATACTTATTTTTTGAACGAGTCAATCTAGCAAGTTGAAATTTGGGGTGATGAGTGATGAATACTATATTTGCTGAGGATACTTACTACGCATCACTTTAGGTCAACAGGCTACAAATGTAGGCGTCAATTTCTAGGCATGTGACGTCGACGATTTAAAATGTAACAATGATACAATAATGTAAAGACAAACGTTTGAACGATTGTAGTGACATTCAGAGAACTAACCTAACACCTTAACAATTATAACCTCAACTCCCATGAATTCTTCACATAACCATGGACCTCGCTGTTACTTAAACACAGTCAGAATGTTACAATCACCATCAACAAATTTAAACAGAATAGACATAAATTGGTTGTTACAGTAGAAACATTAGACAACCTACAGATGGCAGCAGGTTCACCTAAACACAATGAAATGTATCCATGTTCCAGCTATCGTCAAAAGTCCACAAACTCGGATTGACGAAGCTCCATGTTGCATGGCCGCTGGGGTTTCACCTTGTAGGACATGCACCTGGACACTTGCTGCATCGCTGGTAGATGGAGAGCAAGTGTAGTTACCTGGAAGCAATAATGTCGATTGGACATAATTTACTTCTATGCAAAAGTGCTTCGTTTGTCCATTAGAGGGTGTCAAGGTTTTTTCAGATATACTAAGTGACATATAAATCCGAACACCCAGTTTAAATGGTTTTATTTTAATAAAATTTTGTATAAGTACTTAATGAAGCATAATAAGTAAATGATAAAAATTTCAAAATGATTGCACTGCTTTAAAGCCCTTTGACCTTTAATAATGTGTGGATGCACCCTGATGTGCTACGCATTCTCCAACGCGCCTAGGCATGCTTCTGATCAGGTGGTCAATGTCCTCCTGTGGTATCTCATTCCAGGCAACCACCAACTCCTCTCGAAGTGCTTCTAGAGTCAGAGGAGGACGTTGCAAATTGAGCAATCTCCTACCCATCGTATCCCACACGTGCTCATTTGGGGATAAGTCGGGAGATCTTGGTGGCCATAGTAACAATGTGACATCATTATGTTGAAAGAAGTCTATTGTGACTCTGGCAACATGTGGTCGGGCATTATCTTGTTGGAAAGTTGGATCTGCCAGGGTGTCAAGATAGGGTAAAAGATGGGGTTCTAGAACTTCGTGGATATAACGCTGCGCGTTCATTTTACCTCTGATGAAGATTAAAGGTGACCTGGAATAAGCTATAGCACCCCAAATCATAACTCCAACAGTGTGATGAACATGTCTTTCAAAAAAAAACTGTGGATTCCTCCTTTCACCACGTCGCCTTCTAACCCTGGCACGACCATCGTGTATGCCTAAACAAAATCGAGACTCGTCACTAAAGACAATACTATTCCATTCCTGATCTCAGAGTGACCGTTGTCTGCACCACTCAAGGCGATTACGTCGGTGTTCTCGAGTTAAAGGGAGGACCCAGTGTGGTCGGTATGAAAACAAGCCAAAACTTCTCATTCGTCGGTAAACACTTCGCATGCCAATAGGTCTTCGGTGTTCTGCAAACCATTCATTTGAAAATGGACCTGGTAGTGGAGAAACGGTCCCTTAAGGCCAATAATCTTAGGCGGCGATCTTCACGGTCTGTTGTTCTATGGCGGCGTCCAGTGCCCCTTGCTCTTTGCGTACGGCCTTCTCGAAGCCATGCCTGATAACACCTAACCACAGTGTCTACACTTCTTTGCACTCTAACTGCAATTGCCCGAAAAGAAAGTCCAGCTTCCCGAAGTCCCACTATACGGCCCCTATCAAACTCATTAAGTTGACGAAATCATGCAGGTCTCCGTACTCTAGGCATCGTAACCGATCGTAAAGGATGTCAAGAACCAAAATCCGCCAACGTTGGTTCTTTACTGCGGCTGAAATATTCATTTTTAGAGCGTTAGTGAATTAAAAAAAAGCAGTGTAAAAACCGGAATGTCCAACTGATAAGGCTGAAAATTTTTTCACTTGTTATTTACAGTAAGATAAATACATTCACCAACTTTTATTAAAATAAAACCATTTAAACTGGGTGTTCGGATTTATATGTCACTTAGTATATTTTTGGAACCGATAGTCCAATTTGAATGAAATTTGAAACATAAGCTAGACATCCTAATGTTTGATTTTTACAAGAAACCGAAAGGGTTCAAGAAGGGTGAAAACTACCCCCACCCCTAAGTGAATTATAACATACTTTTTCGTAACCAATGACACTGAATTTTTTGATTTAAAATATCATTTTACTTACTTCATTTTGTAACTCATAGAAACAGGAAAAGTTTTAGATTCTTCGATGCTAGTTTCTAAAAGATTTTTTATTACATCAAGTGTCAAAATCTAGTATGCATCTAGTTGGCGGGATATTAAAAAGTAGTGTTTGAGTTTATGTTTGATTGTTCATTTGTTGTTTGTTCTTCATAAATTTTAAATTAAATAACGTTTGAGATTATTTTTGGTGAGGTTCTTGCTTGTTTTTCACGTTAATATGGAATAATCTTTTGACGAACAGACTCGTATGTTCTACAAAGGTAATTGCAGAAAAAGCATTTGCGTGTATCAAGAGATATATCCGAATGGACGAATTCCAAATCGACAGAATTTTGCAAGCATAGAACCGCGGCTTCGAGAACCTGGTCGATTCCAACCTCTAAGAGTCAACGCTGGGAAACCGCGACAAACCCGAACATCCCTAGTGGAAGAAGCTGTTGTTGAAGTGGTCCAAGAAGATCTACGTATCAGCACTCGCAGACTAGAACATGAACAAGGAGTTCAAAAAAGCACTGTTAACCAGATTTTAAATGAACAACTCAATCGTTTCATTCACGTTCAGCCTGTCCAGGGATTATTGCCTACTTACGTTTGAGATTTGTACGAAATGTATCAGAACGGGACCAGCTGAGGTTATTTCACAAGAAAATTTTGTTTACAGATATGTCACGTTTTACCTGACGTGATATGATAAAATAAATTAAATTCGCATGCAGTTGCAGAAAGACGTTTTCATTGAGAACTTAAAATTAACGTTTGTATGGGGACTATTGGTAACTTTTTAGGTGACCCATATAGGTTGCCTGATAAATTGAACGGAGATAGCTAGGATCATTTTCCACAAAAGTGTTATCTGAATTATTAGAAGAACTGCCTCTGAATGAAAGAAAAGACATGTTTCTATGTATGATGATGCTCCATCTCACTTATTACTTGAACGAGAAATTTGATGGTCCATGGATTGTTAGAGGTCAAGAAGCTCCTATTCACGGCCCACCTCGTTCCCCGGATTTTAATCCGTACGATTTTTTATATGGGGAGCATTAAAAACAAGGATATGTGAGTTTCAGATAGACAAATCACCTATGGGACAGGAGTCCAAATGCAGCAAATATGTATGGTGTATCTGAAGTCACTTGAAATAGCATAAAAACCTTTGGTCGGCGCGTCCTTTGTAATTTCATGACGTATCATAGGCGTGCGGTAAAATTTATTTAGAACGATAATAATAATGTTTTTATATCACAATAAATGGATTCTACTATCTTCTTATTTTTTTGATTTGGGATAAAAAATACTTATATTGGGAGTTTAATTTATGTAGACTGAAAGTTAATAAATGGAAAAATTACAGAATTCCAACGTTTGACATAGGCAAATATTTACATAGCAGGTAGGTATATAAAAAGGTATATAAAGACTTACATTATATTTATTTATTTATATATCATCCTCGCCTTCGGAGCTGTCGCTAGAGTCATCTTGTAGAGGAATTACAACGGGATTTACAGGAGGCAAAACACAATATTCATTTTCTTTTTCAATAATATGCCTAGAACACTGCTTCCATAGGTCTGTGGCAGCAATATGAGATACTGCATCTCTTATTGTGGCCAATAGCGATTCACTTAATTGAGGGGTCTGATTATGTTTTCTTACTTTTTTTTTTAAAGCAGCCCAGACCAACTCAATCGGGTTAAAAATGCAGTAATAGGGAGGTAGACGTAATACTTCATGGCCATTTTGCTGAAGCAGATTGTCAACAGCATACTCTTTTTCAAATTTTTGTCTTTTAATAAGATCTAATAATATGGCTTTGGTTGATTTTTGTGGTATTTCCATTCCCTTATCCTTCATAAAATCAATAATGTCTTGTTTTTTTGTGCCTGTATTCGGAATTTTGTTTTTCTGTCGGGAATGGTATGGCGCATTGTCCATAATAATCACTGAATTTGGGGAAATGTTTGGTATTAACTGCTGCTCTATCCACTTTTCAAATAAGTCGGAGGTCATGTCCTCATGATAGTCGGCACATGATTCTTTGATATTTTTGGCAGATAACAGCAAGGCATTAGGTATAAATCCATTTTCACTGCCAGCATGGAGAATAATGATTCGTTTTCCACGGTTGCATGGTGCATTTAAAATGCACTTGTTGCTGTCGTCAACCCAGCCGTACTGCACAACATCATGGGTATCATACCACGTTTCATCCAGGTAAATCAGATTTCTTTTCTGCTCTCTATAGATTTTAACTTTGTGCAAAAATTCTTGGCGCAATTCAACGATTCGAGACGACTCCATAATCACCATTCTTTTATCTAATTTTTTGTATTGAAAACCACACAGTTTTACAATACAGTGCAGTGAGTCTAAGCATTTGTAATTATAAAAATCTTCAGGATAATCTTTTAATTTATCCCGTATCATTTCCAACGTAGGCACCAAATTTTCTTTATAAAATCCGTATATTATACGACGAATATCTTCCTGAAAACCCACGTCTATTCTTTTTAATTTTTGCCCTATGCGCTTTCTGTGGAAGGAATGGTTGACTACATCTCCCATTTTCATAACCCGATAAATGGTAGACCGACTGATTTTTGTCAGGATACAAATTCTGTTTAAAATTTGAATTTGCGAGGAATCTGGATTTTCGTTTTTTAGACAATCATACATATTTAGGATTACTCTTTGGGTCTGTTCCTCTAAATCTTTATGAAAGAATTCTGCCTGCACAGGTTCATCAACCATCTCCTCGTGGCTTGGAGCATTTTCCCAAGGTCTCCAAAGAGCAATATTTAGGACACACAAGAACAATCAACACAACAATTAAATCAACAAGTAAACTGAGTATTCAAAAGTCAAAAACACACAAACTAATAAAATCTATGAAAAAACACGGACAGACTAAAGAAAACACGTTTATTCACCGCTACACGGCACTGACTAAACTATTTCAATTTTCAGTAGCCACCTGCACTTGTTCAGAGCTCTGAAATACACGCTTTCTCATTGGCTATGTCCACGCATAGGCGTGCTTTACTCCACGTGGACCGGTGAAACTGCCTTTGATCTTATACGGGGGATATTTGCTGCGAAATTTGGCGAGTTTTGCAGCAACAGAGCGTGTTAAATATAGATATATAAAACGCACCCGGTATTTCACAGTGTTTCAAGTGACTTCAGATAAAGTATACATTAAAGAATAATGACATCTTGGAGAACGTTATCTATATTGTTATCTGTAGGATCGAAAATGGTGGTCTTATTGGACACCTTTTATGAAAGATTCGCTCCATTGCCTGTGTTAAATAAAATTATAAGTAATATCATACTTGTTTATTTTCGCTAACTACGCTTAAAGAATTAATAAGATGCTAGGGAACCTCTTGATGATACTCATTTTTTTTTCTGAAAAACTATCCAAGATATCCAGTTTGGTTATAAAATGAAATAAAAAACGAACTGCTAATTAAAAAAAAAAACAGAGTCGTCGGGAAACTTGCCTATAAATTCTGCTACATTTTATGTAGAGGTCCCACCTCTGTAGTTTTCACCCATTTCGAACTCTTTAGAGTTTTTCGCAAAAGTCAAATAAAAGCAAATATGTGTTCCGAATTTAATTCAAATAGCACTATCGATTTCAAAATTATCTAAAAAGATGTTTTGAAGACACCTTCTAACGGACAAACGACTTATTTTGAGTCTGAAAATCCGTGGTGCTCCTATGTACACGGAATATTGACACATCCTGTATATCAGCATACCTCAAACCTAAAGCTACGTTTTCACGGGTCAAAAGACGACAGCGTGCCACGCTTTCGATCTCACTTTCGTGGCTCTTGTCTTGAGTGGGAAGCGAGAGTCGTGGACAGTTCACACGAAGCTGACCATGAAGGAGTTTCTGATTCTTTTCTTATTCCCAATGGGATAGCCTGTTCATTGATCAATGTTTGGCCCATAAGTGCCAAAAACTGTATTTATACGATGTTGAAAAAAGAAAATAGTGTTGTTGAACATTATGAAACAAGCATCAAAAATAGGGCGCCGATAACTGCTTTAATATATTTATTTATTTATTTAGATCCTCTCAACAAAAATGGCGTCAGGTAGCTTGACTCTATACTTCCCACACATTCAAAACAAGTTTTAGTGCAACGTTTTAGGGCAATGGCATGGAAAAGACGTGGATTTTGTTAGAAACATCAAGTAACCTCATTAAATTACTCTACAAGTATACTCTATTTATGATAATATCGCCCATACCTCACGGCGCCATCTGCTACTTGCTTTTGTAAGTCCCTCGGAGTCACTATCAACGGCAATACTTACAACCCCGCGGCGCAAGGCACGTGCGACGCGCTTCGTTTGCTGAAAATATTTTTACATGTGCGGGGAAATCTATGTGTGAAATATGTCTGATCGGTGCAGTGGTTTACCGAGATTTAAAGTGTATAAATATACTAACGTCAAATAAGTGTGTCAGGCAAAATTGTAACATTCTATGGAAACATTCTATATTATGGCTAAAAAAGTTTGGGTAGAGAAATATGCCCGAAAATTGCAGATACCCCCTCTATGCTTAGCACGGCAGTATGGCGGACGGTGTATTATGCTGCATTCGGTTCCATTTTGGTACTTTGCATGATACGTACCACTATCTTCAGGCAGGGCCCTGGATATGAGCAATCTACTGGTACGCGTCTGTTTCTCGGTGACAACACTGATGCCTCCTCGTTGCGAGTAGTTGATGACGTTGCCTCCTCGATACCAGTAGATGAAACTGGGAGGATCTGGAGTTTGGAGTACCACGCAGGTCAGGTTAATGTCGCTTCCGCTGCGGATGTACAGGTCCGGATTGCCGATTATTTTTGCCTTCGACACTGAAAAAGGACAAACGTCATTGAGAGCTCTCCTGTCTTTTGTAACAAATTTGAATTCGAAGTCTTAGTAAGGTGGGTGGACCGCGGAAGGCCATGCTGCCTCGTAAGGCCATATTAAAAACTCATACTTATTGCCATGACGGGGCAAATCCCTACTCACATACACCGAATTCATGGATGCCGACGAGGCGACGAGCCGCACGCGTCATTATTTTGGCAATGCGGTCCCTCGCTTAGATAATATCGGTCGTCGACATTAAAATTATAATAATAGCTCACAGCAAAAAGTGAGTTTTCAAGAGAGTACACTATTTTTTGAATTCTCTAGATTTCTAACGTTATATAGAACATTTAATAATAATAATAATAATAATAATAATAATAATAATAATAATAATAGCCTTTATTTAACCTGGCGGGTGTCAGCTAAAAGCTGTTTTTCATACCAACCAGGGCCAAACAAAATTATAATACAAAATCTGGGAGACATAAACATTGTTGAGTAACAATAATGAAAAATCTATTATGCCAAACATAGGCATTTTTTTAATTTAAAGAAAAAATCATATATATTCACAGTTAACAGTTACACCATTACATAAGTTAAAAACTAAATAATATAAGGTATTATGACATATTTTCAAAAACAATTTTTTTTACTTTTGACCTAAAAAGTGGAACAGATAAAACTTTAAAGCTGACAGGGAGCATATTATAGCAATTGGGTGCAACAAAAGAGAAACTCTTAGTAAATAGGGTGGTTCTATGATGGGGCGTGTTAAGGGTGTAACCAACGAAACGGAGGTTGGCTGCATGATGCTGACTTCTCAAGGATAACTTATTATTTAAGTATATAGGGTATTTGGTCAATAAAATGCTATGAACCAAACATAAAATGTGAACCAACCACCTCTGCCTCATCGTCAACCAATTCACTTCTTGAATAAATGGAGACACTCGCTCCCTTCTTCGGATTCCAACAGAATATCTAATACAGCTGTTCTGCACTTTCTGAAGTCTGTAAGCTTCGGCTTCAGTCAAACAAGGACCAAACACGGAACTTCCATATTCTAACTTACTTAAAATGAGTGAATCGCAAAGCTTAATTTTAGTATCTTGAGACAACACGTGCTTAAAGCTGTAGATGCTTTTTAGTTTAGCAAAAGAGCTCTGTACAACCTTAGAAATATGATCATGAAAAGTTAAGTGCTCATCAAAGATTATTCCTAAGTTTAATACCGATATTTTGTGTGTGAGCTCTTCATTATTGAGGCATAGCTTTATAGCATCTCCACTGAACTCGTTCTTCTTAGAGCGGAAGGTAATTATGGCCGATTTGCTACAGTTTATGTGTAACCCGTGGTATCTAAACCAATCACAAACGCCGCTTAAATCTATTGCTAGTTTTTCATTAGCATCAACACATGAGGAGGGATCATAGGATAGATAAAGCTGGGTATCATCAGCATAAGAATGTAAAGCGCAATGTTTGACCGACCGATCCAAGTCCGACACGTATAAAGTAAATAAGATTGGTCCTAAAATGGAACCTTGCGGCACCCCCTTTACAATGACCCGATTGTCAGAATAGTCACTGCCTATTTTAACTTGTTGAAGTCGATCTGATAGGTAATTGTCAAACCATGTAATCGAATTCTCAGAAAAACCAAGAAAGTGCAGCTTAGCCAATAACATTTTGTGGTTTAAACAGTCAAATGCCTTTCTTAAATCCAGCAGAACAGTTGTAGTTACGCAGGAATTATCTATAGCTCTCAAGTAGTCATCACAAATGTCAACTAATGCAGTCACAGTACTATGATTTTTTCTAAATCCCGACTGTGTATTTGGAATTAAGCTGTATTCATTGATGTGTGTTAGCATTTGCTCGTAAATGATCTTTTCTAGAATTTTTGACAAGAGTGAAAGTATGCTTATAGGCCTGAAATCGCAAGGCAATTGGGGATTATCGGTTTTACCAACGGGAATAACAGTTGCGGCTTTCCATATGAGTGGTACGATACCATGTTCCAAACAAAAGTTTATAATATGAGTAAGAGCCTTGAGGCAAAAAGGAAGAATATAGGAAAATGTATCTATATTTAATCCATCTAGTCCGGTAGCACGCGAGTTTATTTTTTGAAAGGTCTTCAAGACTTTTTCCTCGATAACAAACTTAAACTGAAATAGGTCATTGATATTTGGTAGCATATTGGTGTTGTAGTACTCTAAGAGTGTTTCATTTATTGAGTTATCGGGAACTGAATCCACAAAACAGTTATTTAATATGTTGGGTTCCAAAGTACACTGATTATTTTTACCCTTAGAACCATGAATCCCTAGCTCCTTTATAGCTTTCCACCAGCTCCGAGAACTGTTGCTTTTTCTTAGCTGGTATTCAATATATGCTTTTTTTTCGAGCCTAATAGATGCTGTGACTAGATTCCTTAATTGCTTATAGTAGTTCCATTTTGCAGTTTTTATCTCGGCAGAAAAATTGTTCTTAACAGTTTTCTTATACTTAGAATAGGCGTTATTGCGTAACCGCATCATGAATTTAATATTGTGTGTAATCCAGGGACAACGTGCTTTTGATATCTTCCTGGTTTTAATTGGTGCGCATATATTTAGCAGATCATCAATAAGGCTGTAAAAATGTTGCAATTTTGATTCAATGTCATCATAGTCGATAACACCTAGCCAGTGCATATTAGACGCTACCTCATTCAAAAGAGACTCATCAATATTCCTTAAATCACGGGTCTGTACATATTTTGTATCTCTAACGGCTGGAATTATTAAACTGTACCAGATTGTTGCATCCCCAAGGGGTGTTAAGTTCCAGGTCTCTCGTCAGAGAAGAATTCGCTACTAGCCTTCACTCTAGCTCGTCAGCAGATATCGGTTTGACGCATCGATTGCCTGCGTGCTGTGATCGGCAAAGTTATGCATGTTGCAGGATAGGAGGTTGTTGATACGTAACAGAAACAATGTTGGGGCAAAGACCAATCCCTGGAGTACGCCCGCGTTGACGTTGTGAAGAATACATTCTCAGTTTGATGATAGCATTGGATATTCAATAATATTCACTGTATATTTTTCATGAGAATATATATTATATAATTCCGAATTATATATAATTAAGTGTTTAATATTCAATTACAATGACAGGCGTTTATTAGTGGCCCATAAGTCCTTTGAGCTGGAAAAAAAGGAATAAAACCAAACTAGTTACATTATGAAGAATTATTATATTTTGTTATCATCTTTATTGAATGGGAATTATGTTTTAAAAATCACATCGTCTAAATGCAATCCATTACGATCACGGCACTCATATTATAAACGACGTCTAAAATTGTCGATGACTGCGCGGCAAGTCAACACTGTAATGCTTGCCACTTCTCTTCGGATATTTTGTTTCAGGACATCAACTGATCGCGGAGTCGTGTCGTACACTTTACTCTTGAGGTAGCCCCATAAAAAGAAGTCCATTGGGGTCAAATCTGGACTACGTGGTGGCCAGGAAATGTCTCCTCTTCGAGAAATTACTTTGCTGGGAAGAAGTTGACAGACGACGGGAATAGAAGTGTTGGAGGTGTGGGCAGTTGCTCCGTCCTGTTGAAACCAGGTCTGCGTATTATAGCCTGGAACATTCTGCAACGCTGGTGTCAAAAACTCTTCTATCGTTGCTACATACCGCTCCGAAGTAACAGTTAATGCGCGACCTCTGTCGTCCTCAAAAAAATAAGGGCCTACCATGCCATGCGCTGACATAGCAGCCCAAACTGTAACTTTAGGGCTGTGTAAGGGCTTCTGATGCTTACGCCTTGGATTTTCGGGGCTCCAATAACGGCAATTTTGTTTATTTACATGCCCGTTTAAATGGAAGTGAGCCTCGTCCGAGAACAACACATTATTGAGCGAAGAAAATCGATTCAACATTTCATTCGCAAAGTTTAGTCTCTGAATAGCGTCATTATCTTTTAATTCCTGCACTAACTGAATTTTGTAAGCGTGCAGACGTAAATCCTTCCTTAAAATCCGCTGTAAAGATGTTCTGGGTACGTTTAGTGCACTGGAACGCTTACGAGTAGACTGGGTAGGATTTTGACGAACAGACTGTGCCACAATGATGATGTTTTCTTTAATACGAGTTGTCCTTGGTCGACCCCACCGCTGTTTATCTAACGTCGAACCAGTCTCTTCGAACTTAGCAACCCAGTTCTTAATCGTTTGAGCTGTTGGACACTTTGTAAAATTGTGTAAATTGTGGTATTCTCGATATTTACGCCGCGCAATGGTTGCCGAATCATTATTTTGATAAAACGCGCGCACACAAAAAGCACGGTCCGCTCCAGTGAAACACTCCATGGCGACTGAATTCCCAGACACTGAAGATACTGCCCCCACCTCGCCCGCGCCGCTCACGCTCACCCGTTAAATTTTATTCAAATTTGAAATTTCAAAGGACTTATGGACCACCCTATATGGGAGTTTTAAGTTAAACAAACGAGTTATTAAAAATTGTCATCGTCTGGAGTCTTGTTCTTTGCAAGGCCGTTGAGAGGAATTATATAACTTGGATTAAATAAATAATGATTAACTGTGCGATAAAGAAAATTGTTATATGAGTTACACAAAACAGTGTTACTTAATAATTTATGCGTTTACCCAGTAAATAAAGCGTGGCCTTTCATGGTCCAGCCATTTATCGTAAAGCATACACCATCTTTATTGGGCTGTAGTATTTGATAATATGAGTATACAGGGTGTCCCAAACTGAGTGCTAAATATCTCTCCTGATATCACGCAAACTTCCATCCTAGGGTCTTCCAGAAAAGCTTTGCAGATGGGTGGCTGACTTTTCTCTCTGGCCGCAACATATACGTCGTAATTGACGGGTTCTCCTCTTCATCAAACAACGTCAACGCGGGTGTTCCCCAGGGATCGGGTTTGGCTCCGAAACTGTCCCTCTTATATATAAATGACCTTTTCTGTGCGGTGAACCCAATCCACAGCTTTGTTGATGACAGCACTCTACATGCTGGGAAAAAGAAGACTAGCGGCGACTTCGTTTTTGATGAGAGACCTGTAGGTTATCAATGCTTGGGGACGCATAAGCATGTACAGTTTAATGCTTCCAGAACACAGTACTCTACCTTGACGAACAAAAAGCATCCTAGCGCTCATCCGGTTTCGGTCTTCAGATCACCGAGGACTTGATCTGGCATGAACACATCTCTTCAATAGCGGCAGCTGCTGGGAAAAAGCTAGGCTAATTGTTTAGGGCTATTAGTTACTTTTCTCCGCATGACCTTCTCACTATATACAAGGCCCAGATAAGGCCTAGCCTCAAGTATTGCACACACGTTTGGGGTGCTGCCGCTCCGACTACATCATTTATGCTCGATGCTGTCTAGAGGAGGGCTGTCCGACTGATCGATGATTCTTCTCTAACAGACAGTCTCGGGAACGTTTCACACCGGCGTG